TTAGCAATGTAGTTTACATGCACTGTGTACGTCGCTATGTGTCATATCGAACAGGACGCGGCGTGGCGACCGCCACCCTTTAATCAGTTAATTTGAATATTGAAAATAATTGATTACCTGGTTTATTTATGTTGCAGGCTGACCAGTGCAATGGTCTACAGGGTTTCCTTCTCTTCCATAGTTACGGTGGTGGCACTGGTTCTGGTTTCACCTCCCTACTCGCAGAACGTCTGTCTATAGACTATGGTAAAAAGTCAAAACTGACATTTGCCATTTACCCCGCGCCGCTGATAGGGACCTCTGTCGTCGAACCGTACAACTCGGTGTTGACAACGTCATCATCCATGAATCACGTAGACTGTGCATTCCTTATGGATAACGAGGCTCTGTATGAAATTTGTCGACGTAATTTAGACATCGAGCGGCCGACATACACAAACCTAAACAGGTTGATTGCCCAGGTTGTGTCGTCGACTACTGCTTCACTGAGGTTCGATGGCGCCCTGAACGTTGATTTGAATGAATTTCAGACAAACTTGGTACCGTACCCACGGATTCATTTTCCATTGACAACATACGCGCCAATTATTTCTTCAGAGAAAGCTTATCACGAAAGTCTTAGCGTTGCTGAAATAACAAATGCCTGTTTCGAACCAGCAAATCAGATGGTGAAATGCGATCCGCGTCACGGCAAGTACATGTCATGCTGTCTGCTTTTCCGAGGTGACGTGACTCCAAAAGACACTAACGCTGCCATAGCAAACATTAAGACAAAACGAATGATCCACTTTGTCGACTGGTGCCCAACAGGTTTCAAAATTGGCATCAACTACCAACCACCAACCGTTGTTCCAGGCGGTGACTTGGCTAAAGTACAGCGTGCCGTCTGCATGTTGAGCAACAGCACAGCCATCGCTGAGGCCTGGGCTCGTCTCGATCACAAATTCGACTTGATGTATGCCAAACGTGCATTCGTTCACTGGTATGTCGGTGAAGGTATGGAGGAAGGTGAATTCTCAGAGGCGCGTGAAGATTTGGCAGCCTTGGAGAAGGACTACGAAGAGGTCGGTGTTGACTCAGTCGAAGACGAAGGCGAGGACGAAGGAGATGAATATTGAACCTTTCTCTTTGAATACAAACTTGTTAATGTTGTTTGTTGTTCTTCAAAAAAAATGGTACGGAGTACACGCGTCCTTGTTACTCTCTCCAACCAAATACTTGTCCTTTGTCTTGAAGATTTGGCAGGCTTGGAGAAGGACTACGAAGAGGTCGGTGTTGATACAGTGGATAGGGAAGAAATATTAGAAGAACATGACGAGTATTAATGAACTTTTAAATTACTCATCATTGTAAATGAACTTGGCCTTCGGCGATACCACTAGTTCTATTAAATATATTTGTTTTTGAATGAAAATTGTCATTCATGAATGAGCCGTGAACCACCACCAACGTGCTTCTTGTTATATGTGATGAATTGGGCTTTCACTTTTCAATGTATATTGACAATGCCACCGGGTAACTTACATTACAAGCGTTATACAGATTTATTTTTTGCTTTTGCGATGTTAGTAAGGAACGCTTGCAAGTATATTAAGCGGGGGAGTCGTCACCTGTGCAGGTGACAACCCAGGTGTTCTACCATAACATGTTGTATATACTTCAGTGCAAACTCATGGTATCAGTAGGGTACTTATCAAAATATAAATATGTGGATTACACAGACTGCGATTGAGATTATATATATTACGTATATATTTGAAATACAACGTACATGTAGAGTGGAGGTCAAATGTTTATTACGGTTACATATAAATAAGTTTAAAGTGTGGGACTCGTCACCTGCGCATGCGTCAGATGGCCATAGTGTGTCATTGTTTACAAACAAGCGTCTACCCATAATCCTTTGCGTTTTCAGCATGTGTTATCGTCGCTTGGGACTCTCGTGTGTGCGCAGGTGACGACCCTCGCTCTTTAAGATCAATCACAAATTATTATTCTGTTACACAAATAATTGTTAATATTATTATTGTAATAATAGTAATCTCATTATATTTTGTAATTATTATTATACCACTGTTTTTTTTGTGACTATTAATTTATAAATATCTAGTTTTATGATTATCTGGATATTTGGTTGGCGTGTCAATAACTACTGTATAGTATGAAAGCCAATTTGGGACATTTTTTGAATCTCGACTTACTACTGTGGAATACTTTATTTTCGCTGAAAAGGCTTTTTGGGCGTTTTGCTTGGAATTTATTTTCACTGATTTTTGATGAGTTTAATATGAAATATAGGAAAAAAAGTATATTCGATGGATTTTATTTTCACGGAATCATCCCTTTAGCGAAAATAAAGTATTCTACAGTATCTACAAAATGTCACCAGTGGGCTTTCATAGTATAGTAACAGTATAGTAGCTGGAGTATTTGACATGTCCTTTTATTTGTTTACATATAGTTGCTTAAGATCTCAAAGAAATGTTCTAATTGAGCATGTCATGTTTTATTTTTCTCACCATGGAGTCTCATGATTGGGTTTCATGATCTGCATAAAAGTACTATTACGTTTATCTCAACACAAATCGACTTGTGGCTCCAATTCTTCACATACTCGTACATTGGTTGACGAATGTGTCAAGCCATCAGAGAGAGAGTTAGTATATTTTCTAAAAACTTTGAAGTTGTTTCTTGTAACCTTGGCAAAAACGTAACGACAGGTTATTGTTTCTGTCCAGAGCAATGCCGTTAATAAAATATTATTATTAGTATTATTATTATTGTTGTTATTTACCCCCCCAAAGCAAAATTGTACAGCATTGTACGTGTTTGATGGGTTAGTATCGTGATCGTTTGGTTCAATTTGAATACATTTTTGCAGGATTTTAGAGGTTGACCAGATGCACGCAAGTTGCATAAACGTATACAACAATTCAACAATTAAATGAGAACCGAGATTGACCGAATAACGTAATTGGATAAAATTGACTGATAATGAATAGCTCAAATGAAGTGTAATGTACATACGGATAGGTCAAATATTTTGACAAATTTAAAGCAGGAGGGACGTCACCTGCGCACGCACAGGAATTGAGTCCCAAGTGACGATAACAACACATGCTAAAAACGCAAAGGCTCATAGGTAGAGGCTTGTTTGTAAACAATGACAGGCTATGTCTGTCTGACGCATGTGCAAGTGACAACTTCCCCGCTTTAAATTACATGAAATCAAAATTACTAGCAACTAGATGTTTCAATTGGAGGTGAACAGTTTTACCAAAATATGTGGCAATGGCTTCGTGCAAAATACATCTTTGGGTAAAATTTCGGACATGTCTCATTCTACTTTACTTGAGTACGTGTTCAAAATTATTATTTTGTGTTTGAGTCGATGTCTATGTCTCCACTGGTTTGACATTATACTTCAGTCCATGTCAACATAACACGTCCAAATCCTACTGCGTTGGGTTACAACTCGCTCTCTTCATGGAAATTTCAAACCCACCAGAAACTGCAAACTACAAGACGTGGATAGCCCTAATCGTTATTTACCCTATTAGTTAAGCGGGAGGGTCGTCATCTGCACACGCGCGGGAATAACAACACACGCTAAAAACGCAATGGCTTATGGGTGGACGCATGTTTGTAAACAATGACACACTATGGCCATCTGATACATGCTCAGGTGACGACTCCCCCCCCCCCCCCCCCCCCGGTTCACTGCATTGGGTTACAACTATCTCTGTTCATGGAAATTTCAATCCAATCAGAAACTGTAAACTACAAGACGTGGATGGCCTCAATCGTTATTTACAATCAACCCTATTGGTTAAAGCAGGAGGATCTTCACCTGCGCACACGCGGGAATAACAACGCACTCTAAAAACACAAAGGCTCATGGGTAGACGCTTGTTTGTAAACAATGACACGCTATGGCCATCTGACGCATGCGCAGGTGACTACTACCCCCGCTTTAAAACAGTGGTTTTAGTAAGGGGTGGACCATTTGATATCCTGGGTGGCCAGGAAGATAGAAATAAAGCCTAATTTTCCCCCTATCTGATATGGAATTATTTTTTTTTCAGCAGACCTTGTCTCTTATTTTGTTCTAACAGTTGTTTTTATTTTTCCAACAATAAACACCAACAATAAGCAACAAGTTTACAAAAAAACATTTGAGTAAGAATAAAGTAAAAAGTTTAACCGATAGAAGATAAGGTGATGGTTGAATTATCTCACCTGGAAGAAAATAAAAAAAAGTGGTAAGAATTATATAATTGTTATTAATGATCGGAGTAAGGTGTTGATTAGAGGAATGTTCAACAGGAAGAACATTGTTGAAATAGATAATGCTTTGGAAATGATTGGACTTTCCATAATTAAATCTTTAGGCACATTGTAAATAACTGGTGAGAGGATGCTGAAAGCACTACCGTGCATTCAAACATCCTCTCAATGGAAATAAACACAGGTTATGCACATTTACATTATGTCATGATTAAATCTGGTATGATGTGCATGAAACGACTCATGGTGCAAAAGCGCACAAGTGTTGACAGAAGATCCAAATGATAGGTATCACCACCAACAACCAATTTGGTAGTAGTCATATTGCCGAGAATACTATAACTTGTTGTTTTCGATAAGTATATGTGCAGCAACAATAAACTGTACAAAATCAGTAGTTGATGATATCAATCCCATCAGACTGATAGTCAGGGAGCCAAGACCAACTAATAGTCAAGAACCTGACACCGTCTGCTATACTTTTTCTGACTATATTTTTGTGTTTATGGATATTTTTTGTTTATGAAATGGGATGTTGGCAAGCTGAAACCTCTTGCGCAAATTTGTTATAGCTGTTTTGTAATGAGTGCCCCTGCCGCAATATAAAAATGGAAATTATGTTTGACATTTCGAAATACATGAACTAACTCAATGTATTTTGCCAAGGAAATGCTTAAATAATGGGAAACATGGTTTTATAACTTGTTGTTTGAATAGTGAAAATATATATAATTAATTAGCGCATGTGCATATTAATGAGCTAATTTGCATATTTTATAATTAATGTATGCGATTTTCAAATAAACTTCGTTTAAAACTAACATCTCTTATTCATTCTAGGATTAACTGATATTTTTTGCAATTTATAGAGGCATAATTTAAGAGACTGAACTACAATTTTAGCAGCAAAGAAACAAAAATTATCACATATATATTATCTATCATAATAAAACAATAGCATATAGTTACAATTATAACATTGCATAGCAGCTATCAGAATCAGAGTCTGAGATGATAGCAACTCGTCCACTTTTATTTGGGTCCCCTGTACATTTACAAGCAACTATGCAGGGAATGTTAGCTTTAGCACAAGAACATCCTCGCAGACAGTGGGATTTCACACATTTGCAATATGTTGACTTTACAGTGCTAGGTTTACTCGGTTTTGTCATCATTACAGGAACTAGCTTTCCGCTCTCCACAAAATGGCTAAAGTTAATAACTGGTGGCAAGTCCATATCGTTCATATGTGCTCGTTTGTATATTAACAGCTGATATAATGCTCTTAATAAATGCATTTTCAGTTGGAGGCAATACTCTCAATTCCCTCTTGCTTGTTGCAAATAAATGTTCTCGAAGTATGTCAAGGGATTCAAATCCTGTGTGTCCATAAAGTTGAACAAACGTTTTTCTTGCTTGGTCAATAACTCGTGTCACTATGGCGTCTTCACCTTCATTTTCAAATGCAGCCAAGCAATCCAAGCTTTCTACAATGGAAAGTGCAACCTTTGCTGCTTTTCGCTTCCCCTGTCGAAATGGGTAACCTCCCAGTGTCACAGCCAGTTAACGTGTACACAGCCAAGACAGCAGAAGCCAGATTTTTGGGACTATTTCCATATTTGTGGCACAGGGCCGACACCTGATCATGAATAGGCAGAAACAAGCCCATTTTCTCAACCCACAGCTCCAAAAGATTGTCTAGCATACAATAATGATAGAAACACAATATTAGGATGTCAGTATCTGTTGCTTGAACAACAGCACGTTGATATCCAAGTGATGATGTGCAGTATGCCAAATGTGCAATAAGTCTGGTATCTGCTTCTTCGTAACACAAGCAAGATAGTTCATCAATTGTAGCAGCTACACCATCTCTTGTTAGGGAAATGGCTGTTCCATTATCCTCCATTGTTCCTCCAAGAATCAGTGTTTGGTCACTAGGGAGAATTCCATGATTATTTGCCCATGCCAGTGAAAGGAAATTTAACAGATGTGCCTTATTGTGTGTGTTCGTTGTATAATGTCACCAATTTGGAATTTCTAATCCATCTCTAGGTACATATTCTGGCATATCTTGTGACTGTTCTCGTCTTATCCATTCATCTGCCTTAAGGCTTTCGGAGGGATCAAAATCATAACGATCACCCACAAAGTTTATGCATGTGGACCCCTTTGGCTTCATGTTAAGTATTTTGGCCAGGTAGTGCTCTTGAAGCTCGCCAAAGGTTGTAGCTCCAAGCTGTTGATATCTTTGCACAAAGGCCATTGCTTCAATGAGATAAACTGTTGAATACTCAGAATCTGGTAATTCTGGACATCCCGTCAATTTAGAATCATGTTGTTTTTGCATTTGAGCAAAGAAATCTGCTTTAGTGCCTTTTCTCATTTTAAATCCATGTGAAGCTTTCTGATCTATGTTAAACAAAGCAGATGGATGGTCCATCCATTCATATTTGAATGCTTCATGTTTATGGTCTGTGTCTTGTAAAAACAAAGCATTCTTGTAACCACAGATTCATCTTGGTACATTTTCAACAAAGAACCTTTTGATTTGGTTGACTTTCTGTCTGTTGAAAATGTTACAATGTTTGGTGGTTCAATTTTAGACAACATCTCTTCTTCTGC